AATAAGTATGTTTTTTTTTTATTTATTTATTAAATAAATATTAGAATAAAAATTATTAATAGCTTTTATATATATATAAGAAAGTTTTGCGTATTTAACTTTATAATTTTATTAAAATAGTATTTTTTTTTTTTATTTTTTTTTTTTTTCATATTATTAAGAGCGGGTTAAAATTATATGGTGCAAATTTTATATCGATTTTTAAATTTAAGGCATGTTCATGAAATTTTCCAGTCAGAAAAAAATAAAAATTATTATTCATTTATATAAAAATAAAATAAAAAGAATAAAAAAAATATATTTTTATTAAAATAATCTAATATAAAGTAAATCTATTTACAATTTTTTTTTAAAAAAATAATAAATTTAAATAACAAATAATATTCAAACTTAATATTATTTCCATATAAAATATAATTTTATTTATTATTGTGTTGTATTATTCAAAATTTTATTTATTATTGTGTTATATTATTCCAAATTTTATTTATTATAAATATAAAATTTGAGAATAATAAACTTGAATAAAAAATATAAATAATATAAGATAAAAAATTGTTTAATTAGAGTATTATTTTCATATTGTAAAATTTTTTTATAAATATAAATAAATATTTAACTATCTAATTTAGAATATTAAAATGATTTAATAAATTAAACAAAAACAAAAAAAATTATTAAAACGACTTTTAAGTTTTTTTGTATAAATTAATTTAATTTTATTTTTAAAAAAAATTAATTTTTTCTTTCTTTCTTATTAATTATAAATAATATTGCATTTAAAATAAAATAAAAATACATTTATTTAAAATATAAATAATATCTAAAATAGAAATTATTATTATTTTTATCAATTCAATCAAATTCTATACAATCGTTTTCATTCAATTCTTTCATTTGTTCAGCTATTTTAGATACTACCTATATTATGTAAGAAAAAGAATAAAATTTAATAAATAAATATTTCAATATACTTATAAATAATCAGGATCATTAATAACTTTCAATAAAAAACTATCTCTGTCACTAACATAATTATCCAAAACATATTTACTACAAGCAACACAACTTAAATAAAAAAAAAAGTTAAAAAAAGTTTAAAAAAAATATATTATTACTTCTCAAAAGCTATTCCAAATAAAATGTTGGTTTCAAAATCACTCATATTACCTCTTATATGTTGAGGAATAATTCCTTTTTTTTTATTATTATTTTATTTAATTAAAAAAAAAAAAAAACCTAAATCAGTTTATTATAATTATTTAGAATCTTCAGTAGCAGGAGCTCCTCCTTATAAAGGATGATGTATCATAGAAATAAGAAGTTCACTAGCATAAGCAGAGCTTACAAAAGAAAGTCCAGGCCTAGTAACAGTACATTATTAATCAAGAGTTCTATCTTTTTAAGTGTTTCCAGGCGAAATAATATCATTGCAAAAATAACAAGCAAGTCTTTACCCATTAATATTATCTTAATGTACGTTAGTAGATAATCCGTGTCTAATAATTACAAAAGAATCAAAACCTAATGCTATTGTAATGCACATCTTATTTTTTTATTTTATTTGTTTAAAAATATATTTCTTCAATCCAATTTTATTTTTTTACTTTATTATATTTATTAGATAATACTGTAGGAAGCCACCTTGATTCTCTTGAGTCTGTCATAAGATATATAACATCATGTTTTTGAACTAATTATTCTAAATAATCTACATTTTAAAGTGTTTTTTAAGCCTTTTATAAATATTATAATTTTAAAAAATATATGATATTATTACTTATTCTTCTGTTGATATATAATGACCTGGCATTGGAATTTCTATTTAATATCCTTATGATTGTATACCAGGGAATATTTTTTTTAATTTCTCAGCTGCAGTTTATGCCTTAAATTTTAGAAAATATTATTTATATAAATATGTATATATATAAATATATATATATATATATATATATATATATTTTTAAATATAAACATATTTATATATAAATATATATTTATGTTACTTTTGGTTTTCCACCATTTATTGAATCTTCGAAATCATAAAGTGATTATCTTACAGGATTTGAATAAGAAACCTTTCCATAATCTAAAAAAGTTATATTTTTAACTCCCCATCCAATTAAATTTCTACTTAGTTAGCATCCTAAAGTTCCTGCTCCAAACATTAAAACCTTTTTTATTTATTTTAAAATAATAAAAAAAAATTACTTTTAAATTTTATATTTTTTCTAAATCCAATTTAGGTAATAAACGCCATTTCATTAATTTAATATTTAAATCAACTGCTTGACTTGCTAAAGTAGCTTCATCGAGAGAACTTTTCAAGTCAATTTATTTAGGAAGTTAATTAGGATCTGTTCCTATATAGGATTTTTCCTCAATTGAACATTAGTTTAAGTCTAATTTTAGGTAAAGGGAATTTTTAAAATCAAAGTTTTTTAAAAAATTATAAACTAAGAAATCTTTAAGGACTACTGTATTTATTAATGGAAGTTTAGAATTTTCATTTTTCTTTTTGAATTTTAGTATTAGAGCCAATAAATTATTAAAGTAAGAGTTTACTGCATTTTCTTAATTATATCCATCATAAAATATTGAATATAAATTTTCTGGATTTTTACTTGTATATAGTTCTTTAAGGTATTCTAACATATTATCATTAAATTCGAATGTTAAATTTTCATTTATTTTAAAATAAAAAAAGGACGAGATTTTTCCATAATTAAGAAATTTTTTTAATTATTCATTAAATTGTATTAACTGTTTTTTTTTTTTTTTTTTTTTTTTTTTTTATTTACTTATTATTCAGAAAAATAACACTTTAAAAATTTTTTTTCAATTATTTATAAGTCGTTTATCTTAAACGCAGGAGATAATAGCTTATAAGAATATATATGTTTTTTTAAATCTGCAAAAGTACAGAGAGTCATTTATAATATATTTAATTTTTCTTATTTCTTATCTAAATAATTATTAATATTCTCCAATTACTAACTTAGTATGCTTTCTATTTTTTTATATTTATATTGATTTTCTTGATTTTATTTTCTTTACTTAAAAATTCATCATAATTAATATTATTAAATGCTTCTTAAGTATTATAGTTTTTGATAAAAATATTTATATTTATTTCCACAGGACCTTATAATTATAATTCTTATTATTAATAACTATAAATGTCTAAATTTAGGAAACATTATTTGTCTTTGAAATTATTTATTTTATACTTAGCTTAGATTGGTTAAATATTTTCACTTAATTTCCATTCTTCTATTTTTTTCTTTAATATGTTTTATATATTTTTGATTATTTTTAATAATATTAAGTATATAATTTTACTTTTGCTAAAGTACTCCAAAAGCCTAAATCAATCATTGGAAAAAATTGAATTCTACCCAATTAATTTTAAGTATTCATTTTAATATTTTTATATAGATTTTAATTATTAATAATATTTATTTTAATTATAAAAAAGATGCTATTATTTTTCGTTTTTTATAAGTTATATAAGAAATATTTTTTAATAAAATTATATATTAGATTAGAAAAGGTAATAATATATAAAATTAATATTATTTATAAAATAATAGTAAAAGATATTTTGATAAATTATAAAAATAATATTAAAAAATATAATTATATAATAATTAATATATTTTTTATTTTATATTAAAAAAAAATATTGATAATTTAAATAATATATTATTTATAAATATTTTTTAAAAAACATTATATTTTATTTAAAAATAAATAATATTAATATTAATATCTTTTATTTTATTAATAATATTAAGAAAGAAAAAAAAAAAAATAAAGAAAAAATCCATTTTTTTTTTTAAAAAAGTTTTTTAATTTTTAGTATAAAATTTTTTGTTTTTAAAAAAAAAAATTAATGAAAAATTAAAAATAAATAAATAATAATTTAAATTGTTTAAATATTGTCTTATTTACTTTTTTTTTTTTTTTTTTTTTTTTTTTACAAAAATAAAAATACTTATATATATAACATATCATATTTTATTTAATTAATAGCAAAAAAAATTAAATAAAAAAAATATGCAATCACCAATTAGGATCCTTCTTTCCTACCTTTTGTTTTTTAATTTGAGCAGCATCTAAAAAGACAACAGTTTTGCATCTTTTTATGGGAGTAACTCTTTTAGTTTTGCATTTAGTGCAATCAAATCTAATTTTTTTTTATATTAGATTAATATAATAAAAAAAACTTTTTATTTTATATTTTTTTGTTTTACTTAAGGGCAACTTTTTGGTTGTCTTTGCTTTCTTTCTGAAAATAGGTTTTGATTAACCACCATAACCTGCTTATTTCATGTCATAACGTCTTCTTCCTAATTTTTTTTATATTTTTTATTTATTTTATATTAACCTTAAGAATGTGTAGATTCTTTTGATTTTTTGTATTAAGAAACTTTATGAAGTTAGTGTGCATTGCAATTTTTGCAATATGTTTTCTTGTTTTAGGAATTTGAACCATATTTGATTTATATATTTAAAATTTATAGTTTTTATTTATTTTAAATTCTTTGTTTTATATATATTTTATTAATATTTTATAATAATAAATATAAATTTATATTATTTTATTTAGCTTCAAAAATATTTATAATTATCTTAAAAAAAAAATNTAAAAAAATAAATTTAAAATATTCAATATAATTAATATTAAATAAATAAATAAATAAATAAATAAATAAATAAATAAATAAATAAATAAATAAATAAACATATTAATAAATAAATAAACTAATAAATAATATTTTTTTGCTTTTGATTTCATTTTGTAAATTTTAACTTATTATTTTTTTATTTTTTTTTTATTTTATTTTCCATACTAAAAATTTAAAATGAAAATATATAATGATTATTTTTTTTTTTTTTTTTTTATATACAGTTAATTTTTTATCAATTATAAAAGTTTTATATTATAAAAATATTATAATAACTTATAATATTAATTTTTATATTCTTAAAAATTAAAATTATTAATACATTGATATATATACTAAAAAATAACTTATTTTATTTATATAAATATAATTATAATAAACTGAGTTATATAAATTAATACTAAAATATAAATATGATTTTTATCAATTTTTAAAATATTAATTTTATAATATAATCAATTCAAAATAAATAAATTTAAATAATATTTTATTAAAAATATATAAATATAATGATATAAAAAAATTTGATATTTAACATACCTGCAAAAAATTAAAAATTAAAAAAACAGTAGCTAATAAGTAATAATTAAATAATTAAATATATCTTCGTATATTAATATTTAAAATAAAAAAACATTCATATAGATTTTTTTAAAAAAATTTTATATATATTTTAATAAAATATTGTTATAAAATATTATATAAAGTTAATATTTAAAAAGTAAAAAATATAATATCAAAATAAAAATAAAAGTATTTATATAGTATATAAATATATATATAAAAAATATAAAATATTTAAATATTTAAATATATAAATATATAAATATATTAATAATATATATTATTATGTTAATTTTAACAAATCTCGAATTTTTTTTATATTTTAAACTTTTATAAAAAAATATTTTTAATATAATTTTATTAAATTTTTTTTTTACTAATATAATATAATTCATATTTGATATTATATAGATATATTTTTTTTACTAATTTTTTCTTTTATTTAATTACGTAATTAATTTTTATTATATAATTATATTTATAATTACATATTTAATTTTATTTTAGTTTTTATATTTTTTATTTTTTAACTTATAAATATATTTAATTTAATTATTTTAAATAGCATTTTATATTTAAAATTTATAAATATATATTTATCTATTATATTTTTATCGAATTATTTATTTCAAATAATTTTTTTATTATAAATAAATAATATTTTTATAGATAATTAAAATTTTTATTATATTTAAATATAAATGAATATTAATTTTATTATTATAGTTTTTATATCATTTTTTTAAATTTTTGTATAAAAGTCTGTAAACAGAAATTTAGTACTGTAAGATTTTTCCTCAATATTAACATTAGAAGGTGAAAATATAACTTTATCTTTTGAAATAAAAAACAACAAAATAACTTTTCTTTTAACTTCTAAAGGAAATGGTAACGGCTGGGTTGGTTTTGGTTTCCGTCCTACAATGTTGAATACCGATATGATAATAATAACAACTTAAAATAATTAAGTATTTTTTTTTTTATATATATGTATATATTTATAAATAAATATAAAACTGAAATGAATACTATTATAATTATAATAGTTATCAGTTTTAGATGCATATAGTACAGGGTATTAAGCACCAGAAGCTGATATATAAGATGTAATTTTAGACCCTTCTTCCATATTAGATGCAAATGGTGATTTCTAAGCTAAGTTTTCAAGATTATTGGACACAAAAGACCCTTTAGACGAAGTACTGAAAGAAAATGGCAAATATAAATTGTGTTTTGCCTGGGGATAAAGTAAAAGCTTATCAAAACACAGTTCTTCTGACAGGATTTCATTTTAAAACGATATTATTTTAGCAAATGATGCCGGAAATTTAAATGTTGTAAACAATGATGACATGATAATATTAGAATTACATAAAATTATACTTTTTTACGGTTGGGGTATTTTAGTTGACATAGGCATTATTTTCGCAAGATATTTTAAAACATGGAAGCACTACATTTTAGTCCATACTTTATGCTTTTTCGTATTAGATGTGCTCACAATAATCTTCGAAGCCTTAATTTTAGATTAGAATAAAGACAAATTAAGTGATGGTGGAAAAATACTATAGGAAAATGCTAAAAGTCACTACATTATAGGAGTAGTAATCCTTATATTATTAATATTTTAACATTTAATGGGTGTATGTTTAAAATTTATGATTGAAGGGATTTTAAAAGGGACAAAAATCCCTATAGTGAAGATATTTCATTAAATAAATGGAGTAATTTTATATATATTAGCAAAAACTAATTTATGTATTGGAACAGAAATCGACGGAAAAAAAAATAATGGGATAATAATTGTTACAATATCGATTATTTTTCTTTCTGTATTAGAAGCCTATAATTAATTTTATAAAAGAATTCCCCATAAAAAATACGCTAGTGTATCATAATAAGAGAAAGAACCTAAAAATGCCAAAATAGTTGAAATGTTAAATCAAAATTCCTCTCTCGAAAATATTTTCTAAGCTTTCCCGAAAGTTAAATGGGTAGTATTTAATAAAAATGTATATGACCTAACTAGTTTCTTACACCCTGGTGGTTAGTATATTATTGATAAAGTCATAGGAAGAGAAGTTGGAAGATTTCTTTATGGAGCATATGGAATTGAAGGTACTAATAATGCGCCTCATATGCATTCAAAAAGAGCTTTTTAGTGCTTACAAAGCTATTATTTAGGGACTATTTAACACGAGCAGGATTAACAATTTTTCTTTTCCCCTAATAATTAATAATTATACACAGTAAATATAAATACATATATTTTCTATTTTTATATTATTTATTAAATAGGTAAATAAAGTAGAAAAAATTAGTTCTACGAAATCCATTTTTTATTTTAATAATAAAGAAGCTAAAATAAGAAATTATTTAAAAGGTGTTAGTTGGTTAGGAAGACATTTTTCTATTGAAATTAATTAAAAAGTTAGATTATATACTACTCTATTATCCATGACTAAAGAAAATTAAATCCTTAGAACATAAATGTTACAATATTCATAATTCAAATTGAATAACTAAGGCTCTAATGTATAAATAGAATCCAATAATGTCAGCGAGTTTACTGATATAATACCTTTTATAGTAAAAAATATGATTTTAAGGGCGCTTTATCTAAATTATTACATGAATAATATACTTAACATTAATGGAGTATAGAAGGACCTTTAGGAACAGGTTTAAATTTTTAAGAAAATGAAGAAAATAAAAAATACGTATTCTTTTGTGGAGGTACAGGGCTTTTTCCTTTTTTAGACCTAATAGATATTTTGTTTAAAAAAAATCTATAATATGCACTCCCTTAAGATTCTAAATTATTCGACCCTTTCAGTTGTGGATATTCTTAATTTTTCAAAGGATGTACTTTTTAGTTTTATTGTGCTTTTTAAACTTTTGAAGATTTCGTGGGACATGAATGGATTCTTTAAACTTATGAAATTTCCTAAAAACTTTAAAATAGACTTTTCGATATTTAAATTAGGGTTAGTGCAGGGTAGGTTCCAGAAGGATTTAAATAAACTAAAGAGTATTTTAATAAAAAATTTGTGGAGAAAAATGTAAAGAAAAACGAAGTTGATAAAGTTTTTATTTGTGGAAATCCTTAAATGAATAATACTTTGTATAATGCTTTAAATGAATTAGGATTTTCTAAATTATAAATTGTTTTAGTTTGAATTTTCTTTTTAGACGTTTTTGATTTTTTATATATAGATATTTTTTATGATATTTATCAAATTTTTTTATATTTTTTTTATTAAAATTATTTTTATAAAATAGTTAAAAAATTCTTAAATATATTTATAAAATTTAAAAAAATTTAAAAAAATTATAATTAATAAAAAAAAAAAATATTTTATATTTATTTTTTTATAAAAAAAATTAATAAATAAAATTAATCATATAAAAAAAAAACTATTCTTAAATTATATACTAAAATAATTTAATAAAATTATATATATTTATATCTTATATAAATTAAAATAAAAAATATAAATTAAACATAAAAAAGAATAATTATAGAAAAAAAAAAAATATGAATAAAGTTATAAAAAAAAAAAATCAAATAATAAAAAAAGTAAAAAAATGTTAAAAATATAATAATATTAAATTAAATAATAAAAAAAAAAAGTAAAAATATAAATAATAATAATAATTATAATAATAATAATAATAATAATAATTATAATTAAAATAATAATAATAATTATAATTAAAATAATATTTTAAAAAATATTCTATAGAAAATTTATAGAAATATATAAAAATATAAAATTTTTTATTATATAAAAAGAAATCAAGTAAATAAAATTAAATAAAATAAAAAAATTGTAACTATTATGAAGTAAGAAAAAAAAATATAAATATAAAAATATTTTTTTTTAAAAAAAAAAAAAATCAATTTATTATAATTTAATTTTAATTATTATTATAATTTTTATTTTTTTTTCTAATCATTTAATAATATTTTTATAACAAATAGTAATATTATTTTTTTTTTTTTAATCAAATAAAATTTTTTAAAAAAGTACAATATATAATGTAAATCAGTATTTATTTAATAAAAAAAAACATATAAAAAAAATATATATATAATAAAATATTAATCATTCATTTTTCATTTAATTCTCTATATCCTTACCACCCTTCAGGTGCTTAAAATCCATATTCACCTATAAAATTAAGTAAAGTCATTGTAGGTCCATCATTAGGATTTATTTCTTTTGCTTTTATTAATATATTTTAACACAAACCCCACTCTCCTTTTATATAATTTTAAAAAGCTTCATTAAAAACTTCTATAAAATATGAGTTTCTTTATTAAAAAGATAGTCTTAAATCTTTATTACTTTCAAAATAAACATTCGCATCCCATTAAGATTCTCCAGAAAGCACACTTTCCATAATATCTATAACGTCTTATTTTTTTAATTAAGATTAAATATTCTAATATATTTTTAAAACAATAAAAAATATAAAAATTATATATATAATTCAAACTTTATCATATTTAGCCATGTTCTAATCCGGATATTTACTTTCTTAAATATCATCACAAAATAAATCTATAGTATATAATCCTATAGGTCTTGTAGATCCTTTAACTGTAACTTTATCAATATTTCTTGCCAAAATCTACATTGTATCTGAAAAAACATCATATAGATCCGATGAAATTAGTAACGGTACCCCATATTATTTAGTAGCTGTTTCTAATCTAGAAGCCATATTTACATTTGGACTTAAATAACTCGCATCTATTTTAAATTATGATCCTATAGCCCCTTCTATAGCCCATCCAATATGTAAACCGAATCCCATTTTAACTTTATAATTTTCAATTCTCTTATTAAGTCTTTAATCTCTTCTATAAGCCAAGATTTTCTACTCTCTATTAATTTTCACCTATATTTTTAGAAAAGAAATAACTGAGAAATCCGCAAAAATATTAATATACTGAATATTATTATAAATAATAGTATTATCATTCTCATTAATCGTATATTTATCTTCTTAAATCTTCCATACTAATAAAAAAGCATCCCCTATATTCTTATTTGCCGCACCCAAATACCTATCTACCATTGAATGGACAATTTCAGCTATATTATTGACAAAAATCATTACATCTTCCTATAAAACTTCAGTTGCGTCTGTAAAATTTCGAATATCGCAAAAACCATAAATAGCGCATTTCTTTTTACCAGCAATCATAGGATCTACATCTCCTGATTTACTCATATTATACGCTATAATTCCTGAACCTGCATCTCCGAAACCTAAGGCAAGCAACATTCCGATTTTTATAATTGCATTTTCGATAATTATAGTCTCATATTAATGTTTTCCCTCCTCTTCTTGTATCAATTCTAGTTCCTTTGATGCCAAAGGGTTTTTCGAGATTTTTATTACTTTATCTCTCATACGTTCTATAGGCCCTAAGGCTAAATCATTCGTGTCTTTTGAAAACAAAACAGCTCCTATAGTCAAAACTAGGCAAACGAAAATTGTTCTACCAATTGAAAGACCAGAATTTAAGACTTATTAGGAACTTACATTCAAAAAACCTTAAATTAGTAATTAATCTTCATCTTAAATTCTGTTTAAATAGTTTATTTCATCCAATTAATCGGGATGATTTTACGCAAATTTACTAATTTCTAATTTATAACCGATTCCTTCTTTTTCATCGTTTCTTAGTATTTCGAAATCAGATTAATATAAACTTAAATAAGTCAAAGGAACTTAAAAATATGCTAAAGGTGAAGATAAATTTTTATATTAAATAATTATGTCTTAATACTAGTTTATTATTTAGTCTTTTGTTGATTAAGTCTCAATTATCATTTTTAATTATTATGTTACCAAATCCATACTTATAGGAAGATCAAAATAATAATCAGCTGAAAATAAAGGCATAATAAATAGAAGAATTAAAACTATTATAATTACTCTTTTAGTTATTAAATTTGAAAGTATTCTTGAAACTTAAGACTCTTTTAAAGAAACAAAATCCTTTTTTATAAGAAAAATATAAATAAATTAAATATATTTTATATATATTTACATTTTAATATTTATCTTTATCTTCTAAATTTGCTAAATTACTAAATGTTGCTTAACTAATAGGATTATGAATATTATTTTCTTCAACTTAAATTTCAGATTAAGGGGCAATTTAACTTCTTCTTCTTTGTTTTAATACGATTTTTTTTTTTTTTCTTCTTTCTTATAAAAACTTTTACTTTTTATCTGAATTTTATTAAGATTATATAGAAGCAGATTTATATAATTTAACTATTCTAATTATTCTTAATAATCTTACAATTCTTCCAGCTCTAGGATATATAGATGTAAAAAAAATAAAAAAATATATATATATATATTTATATATATATATATATATATATATATATATATATATACGTGTTTATTTATATATATAAACATAATATTTAATAATATATTTTATTTATAACCTTGTGGCTACTCTAGAAGCTTTTCCTGCTTTTGCTAATTATGTTGCATTAGAACTTGCACCAAAAAAAAGTGCTTGATTTACTATTTGTAGATCTAAAACTAGAGAAACCGTTGAAATAATATCTAACCAAAAAAAAAAGATAATGCATAATTTCTTTTCGTTAGTGTTGTTAATATTATTTCAATTACATAAATTATTTATACCGTAATTGTTATTCCATCAAAAATATTATCTGCTTTTTTGTTTGTCGCAATAACTCTAATATCATCTCCAAATAATGCAAAAATCGTTACTATATTGATAAAAATTGCATAAAAAGTTGAATTTAAAATATTTTTTATTAAAGGGAATTTTTAAACTTTTTATAAATCTGCTTCTAAGTCTCTAAATAACATAACTTCTTCCTATTTTTCTTCTTAATTAAATATATTGTTTTATTATGAATCATAAGATAATATTGTGTCTTTATGTTTTTCTTTTCTTTTTATTTCCTAAACTATTTTTGGATGATATGAACCAAATTCTTAAATTTACCTTTTTATTTTTATTTTTTTTAATGTTATTTTTAAAAAAATACTTTTATTCTTCTATTTATTTCAGATTATTATTCTAAATAGTATATTCTTGATTATTTTTTTCTTTTTTTTATAAAAATATTAGTCATTATATTAAATTTATAATTAATAAACAATTATACATAATGTTATTATTGAAGATTTTTTTTTTTATGATAACTAAAAATCAATAGGCTAATTTGTTTATATTTATGAATTTTTTTAATCATTTATACTTTTTTCGTATTATTTTAAAGGCTCTAATTTTAAATATTCTAATTAATCTTATATTTTCTAAGTTGAGTTCGTTATTTGTATAACATGTTCTTGCTATGGATTTATATTCATAACATTTTAGGACATTTAATATAAAAAATTTATATATTATTACTATTATATATAAAATAAAAGCAATTTTTTAATTAATAAAAATAAAATTAATATAAAATAAATATTATGATTTTAATTATATATATATATTCTTTTAATTTTAATTTTTTTTTAAAAATTAAATAAATTTAAGTTTAAAATTTTAAAACAGAAAATGTTTAACTATTTTATATGTATTATTTTTAAGAAAAAATTAATTAAAAAAAATAATAGACTTGATTAAATTAACTAAATATAAAATTTAGATATCTAATTAATCAATATAAATAATTTAATTTACTTAAAATTAATAAATATAAAACATTTAATCTGTTATTTTTATAATTTATTTTTAATTATTAAATAATAAACAGCTTTATATAATATACATTTTTATTAAAGTTCATACATCATTTATATTATATTAAATTGATTAATATATTAGTATTATCTTTATATTATTAATGAAATTAAACTATAAAATATTTATCTTAAACATAAAAATAAACAATATTTTATATATATTACAATAAAATTTTTAATAATTATTTATTTTTTTATTTTTATTAATATTTATTTATTTTATTTTTTAAAAAAATTTAAAATAATTATATTTTTTATTATACTTATAAATAAATATTTGCTTAATATCTACATTATATTTAATATTATAATTATTGCATATAAAAATGTATTAAGACTTACAATAAATTAAAAAATAATAAGATTAAAATAGTTTACCAAAATTTTAATCACAATCAGCAAAATTAACACTCACAATTAAAATTCTTTTAGAATCAATATAATTATTATAAATAATCAATAAAATGAATTAAACAGAATGAAATTTTGAATTAATAATAATAAATATATTTAAAAATGGTTATCTTTAATACTAATATAAATAAAAAATATTTTTTAAAAAATTAAATACAAAGAATTATAATTCAATTTTAATAATAGATTTCTTTAATTAATTAAAAATTATTACTATTAATATATAAATCAAGTAATTTATAAATATATATAATATTTTTCAAATATAAAAATTAATTAAAATTAATAAAATAAATTTAAATATATTATTTTATATTAATTTTTTTTTTCTAAAAATTCTAAAATAAATTTTATATTTAATAAAAAACTAATATTTAATAAGTAATAAAAAATAAAATCATATAATAAAAGAGGATAAAAAATTATAAATAAAAAAAAAATATTATATCAGAAAATAATTAAGGAATTAAAATATTAAACATAATCATAATTGAGAAAAAATATATAAAAAAGTAAATATAGTTTGGAAATTTTAAAAATTTCTCGATTTTAAATCCTTGTAAAATAATAAATTTTAAAAATAATTTATAAAAAGAAAATAAATATTCAATATACATAAATAAAGAATGTATTTTTAAAAAAAATATAATTATATATATTTGATTTTTTTTAAATATATATATATAAAATAGATATATACTAATTTATAAAAAATATATAAAAATATATATAGTGATATTAAAAAATATATAAATAAAAATAAATATTAAATAATTTAAAAATATATATAAATATATATAAAAATATATATATATATTTATATATATTTATATTTTTACTTATTTATATTTTTTTTTACTATTAATAAAATATTTATTAAATAATAGTTTTTTTATTTTAAGATTTATTTTTTAATGGTGTCTTATTATTCATATTAACTTATTATTAATTATTTCTTATATATTATATTTATGAATAAAATAATATTATATTTTTTAAATTTAAATGTCATTATTTATAAAATTTAATCATTTTTCGATAATTATAATTTAATTTATATTAATATTTTTCATATCGCCTATAATTTTGTCTTAAATATAATATAATGTTGTTTAGATTTATTAATATATCAAATGTTTTATCTTATAAAAATCTTTATTTAAAAACAAATTATCATAACAAATATTTTTTTTCAATATTTATAATAATGGTTTTTTATATTATATTGTATAAAATTTTATATTATAAAATTTAAAATAAATTAATATATATATTCAGACAGTTTCAAATTACTGTCTTTAATATAGAGTTTTCGATTTATTTTTATAATGATTATATATAAAAAATAAATTTTAATATTGAATAGAAATTTAATGTTTAAATAAATAGTTTTAATGTAAAAAATGGTATTATATCTTAATAAAAAACTAAAAAAGTAAAGTATAAATTGTATAATATTACTTATTTTAACTTCTATATATCTTTTATATATGTATTTATATATATAAATAAATACTTATTTTTAAAAAATAGAATAAATCATCAAACTATATTTACAAATTCTCAAAATATTTAAAAAATAACTTGGTATTTATATTACATATATACAATTTCTAATAAATTAATAATAGAGTTACTATAAAGTTAATAAAATAGGTTTTATTAAATATTATTTATGACTTTAAACTTTAGTATAAAAGTACGAAAAAAATTAAAATTAGAGGTTATTAATTTTTTTTCATATATAATTCAATATGTATTAGCAAATATTTTAAATATTAATTATAAAAAATTGATTTAAAATAAATATTTAATGTCTATTTGGAAATATTTTTATTTGGCAAACGGAAATATTCATATATAATATTTATTTCATTTATATCATTTATATATATATATATATATATTTAGTTATATATTTATATATATTGTGTATTTTTTAAAAATAAGATATAGGAGAAATTCAAATAAAATTATTGAAAGTGAAGTCTATATTTGTAGAGTATTGACTTTATTAATTTAAGAATAAAAAAATAATTAAACCAATAAATTTGAGAAAAAACAAAAAAACAAAAAAAACTGGTTTTAATTAATACAAATAATATGCCAGAAGTATTATTCTTTAATGATTAAAATTAAATTTTTAAAAAAAGTATAAATAAGATGTTTAATTAGTAATAAATAATTTTATATCTACCATTTTAATAAGGATTAGAATATAATTAAATATTTATAGTAATAATAATAAAAGGAAATGATTTTTTTTAATAAAATATAAAAAAATATGTTTATGTATTTTTATATTAATTTATATACATTATTAAAAAACAAATTAATCTTATAAATTTTTAATAATTTTATAATTTTATCAACATATATATATATTAAATTATTTATAAAAATTTTGTTTCAAAAACAAAATTAGATTAATAAAATTTAGATTTATATATAATAATATAATTATAAAAAAAAAAAAAAAAAAAAAAATATTTATTATCAATTATATATTATTTTCTTTTTATTATTAAATTATTTTTATTATTCTTTTAAAGTTTATAGTAATGCTTTATTATTTTAAAAAGAATGAGTAGTTTACCACAATTACTTATTTACACTATTATTTTTTTTAGAAGGACCAATATATAAAGATTCTACTCTACTTATATATTCAGATTATTTAGTTCTATTAATTTCAATATTATTATTAAATTTTTATTATGAATATTATGTATTTAACCTTTTTTCATTTTAATCATATTTACTATAATTAAATCTGTCCGTTTTTGATAAATTGAACTTATTATAAGAAAACTAAAAAGGCTATTACGTATTCTAATTATTATTATTATTAACTCTCTAATTTATTTAAGAAGGTTAATTAAACATATTATCTAAATATTTATTTAGTTCATTTTTTTATTTATTCCCATTTATAAGTTTGCTTTATTCACAATATATATAGTCTGAATGATCACTAAGCCTATTCAAGTAAATTTATTATTACTATAATTAGTTAGCTTCGGTTTATATCCATTTTTATTAGGTTTGAGTTTTATTTAAATATAAATTATCTTTTTCAATACTTTATAAAGTTTAAGTCTCTTCAAATTACTCTTTATTATTTTTAGCTTAAAATGTATTATTCAAAATATATTATTTAGTAAAATAAGAATTTTTATATTTCTCATTTGATTTAGAGGTATTGATAAAATTTCCAATAATATTAGATTTTTTTAAAGGGATATTTTCATCTTATTTAACATTTAATAGTTTAAACAAATTCAAACATTTTGAATAAAAATGAAATAATTAAAATACATCAAATTAATTTTTATTCCTTTCATAATTTTAAATATTATTATTTAAAATTTACAACAATTCAATTTATTTATTATTTATATTTTTTTCTTCTAAAATGACTTTCATTTCATTTGAAAAAGTGTTTTATTATTAAAATTTAATTTACTTTTCTTCACAGATACTCAATTATTATTTAAGTTATTATATATTATTATTTACCATTAAAGAAATTTAACTAAACTTATAATTTAATAAATCCAAACTTTTATAAATACTTTATACATCATGGTCTTTGTGATCACCATTTTACAAGCATTTTAAACATATCAGATTATTTTCACAAGTAAAGCAATATAAGGAACTTTCTTCTTAAATATGTACTATACAAAAACGAAGATTATTCTAGTACATATGGTTTTTCGATAATTCTTAATCATTCATTTTTTAAATATTTAAATTATTTTAAACAAATTTAGGAATATTATTATTATTATTAATGTTATTATTATTATTATTATTATTATTATTATTATTATTATTATTATTATTATTATTATTATTTTTATTAATATTATTATAGCTATTATTATTGTTATTATTATTATTATTATTGTTATTGTTTGTGTTGTTGTTTATTATTTATGGTGTAAAACTTTTTAATGCAACAAATTATTGATTGATTTGAGTTTGCTTTTTTTCTGTATTTTGTTAGTTTTCTTTATTTGTGTTTTTTTATTTACTGTTTTCTTAATTTTTGAATAAAGGAGAGTATTACAGTTTTTATTATTGCGATTAGTTTTCTTGTATATTATCAGTTACTATTTATTATTATTACTATTATTATTATAGTTTTTTACTGTCAAACTTCTATATTATTTTTTATATAACCATATCTATCGCTT